TTTTTTTTTTTTTTCCTGAGAAAAGTTTTATCTCTGTAGATCTGGTTGACATGGAACTTGTTCTGCAGGTCAGGTTCGCCTCAAACTCAGAGATTCCATCTGCCTCTGGGAAGTTACACATTTTGTTTTATTTTTATTTTATGTGCATTGGTGTTTTGCCATGGGTGTTGGATCCCTTGGAACTTGTGTTCCAGACACTTGTGAGCTGCCGTGTGGTTGCTGGAATTGAACCTGAGTCCTCTGGAAGAGCAGTCAGTGCTCTTAACCACTGAGTCATCTCCAGGGTCCAAGTTACATATTCTTTTTTGTTTATTTTTCGAGACAGGGTTTCTCTGTGTAGCTTTGTAGACCAGGCTGGTCTGGAACTCACAGAGATCGCCTGGCTCTGCCTCCTGAGTGCTGGGATTAAAGGCAGGCGCCACCTCCTGGTTCCGACCATTTGGCAACTTTTTTTTTTAAAGATGTATTTATTTATTATGTATACAGTGTTCTGACTGCAGGCCAGATGACAGTACCAGATCTCATTATAGATGGTCGTGAGCCACAATGTGGTTGCTGGGAACTGAACTCAGAACCTCAGGAAATTAAGAGTTAAGTGCTCTTCACCTCTGAACCTCCTCCTTCTCCAGCCACCCATGGCAACTTTTTTTTTTAAAAAAGATCTTATTAACTTATTATGTATACAACATTCTGCTTCCATGTATATCTGCACACCAGAAGAGGGCGCCAGATCTCATAACGGATGGTGGGGAGCCACTATGTGGTTGCTGGGAATTGAACTCGGGACCTCTGGAAGAGCAGTCGGTGCCCTTACCTCTGAGCCATCTCTCCAGCCCGCTCCAGCCCTCTTATAAAGGAAAGCATTTCATTTGGGCTGGCTTACAGTTGCAGAGGTTTAGTCTGCTGTCATCATGGGAGGACATGGTGTTAGAGAAGGAGCCAGAGTTCTATATCTGGATCTACAGGCAGCAGAATAAGAAACTGAGGGCAGGGAGGAATTTGAATATTCATGAGACTTCAGGGCACGCCCACACTGTGATTCGCTTTCTCCAAGAAGGCCACACCTACTCCAACAAAGGCCACACCTCCGAATCCTGCCACTCTCCGAGGGGCCA